CGCGAATCGTTTATGCGATGGCGCCGTCGGAACCGTACGTTTTTCAACCGACACGTGATTCAGTCCATTAGGAAAATGTTGCCCCGACTCGAGAGCGCCGGCAAAGTGCAGGTCAACGATCTCATACAGGAGCTGCACGACGTGTTTGTCCTCCACGAGGTATAACCGCCAGTAATTAAGACATGATTTTAATGTCATGTATTTTTCCGGGTCTCCGTGTGATCACAGATGACGGGCTTTCCGTTGAATATGCCGTACAATGACTTTGATTCGATCACTGAAGCCGTGTTCGCCACTGGAGTCCATTTGGCCGAAGACAAGAGAGTGGAGTTCGCGCTCACAGTCTATGTCCACCCCTACCCGTCCAGTATATTCTCGGTGTGGGTATATGTGGCCGCACTTACACGACATTCAGACATTACATAGATTTTATATATGAGACAAACTTTGGGTTTTGAATAGTTTTGATATGAATTTTATATTTTGTTTTATTTTTGTCGAAAAGTTTTTGCGAAACATATTTAGACTCCAAATATATCCAGATTTTACCCGATATTACATGTAATGATAGTTATATTTGTTTTATTTATTTGTAATTTATCGGCAAAAATAAATATTTGAAGTAAAAGTTTTTTTGTATGTATTTTGTGTTTCAAACAATAACAAGTGATAACACAAAACGCTAAGAATTTTCACTACAAGTCATAAACAAGAAATAATTTTCAACAATAAGTTAAAACCTTTGGATCCAATAATGACATTATTATTACAATGTAAGTGTATGTAAAAAGTATGGGAAGTGTATGGGTATATAATAAACAGGTAGTTTTTAATTAAAACTTACAAAATAACAAAAAATTATTCCCACAATCAATGGAAAAATATATTACAAAATATAGCAATTTTAGCAAAACATTTTCGACAACAAAAAATATATTTATGACTTTATTAAGTGTTTATTCAAAGAGTGAAATAAATGCTTGTTTTATCAATTGTTGGCCACAATCGTAATAATCGTATAATATTTCATAACTTATTGACAACATATAGAGACAGTTTGTCGAGAAAGCCCTCCAACTAAACATCTCGGTTGCACTTTAAACCCAAAACCTGTGATAAAAAAGCGCACATTTAGTGAAGTCTCCGTAAAGTCTAGGTATTACTAGAAGTATATCATAGCACAGGGTTTACAGTATTTTCTGGTTTTACGTCAAATGTTTTCGTATTGTTTATCGGGAAAAAACTCTATCCATACAAGTGTTGCCAAAAGTGTAGTGTTTTTTGCTGTGAAAAACTTTTTTCAATGATAAACATCAGTGACTGGTTTTATGATACCATAGAGTTATACTGTATTCAAAACTATTGACACAACCAATAAAAAGTTTGCTAAAATTGCTATATTTTGTAATATATTTTTCCATTGATTGTGGGAATAATTTTTTGTTATTTTGTAAGTTTTAATTAAAAACTACCTGTTTATTATATACCCATACACTT